CCTTCGAAACTGACTGACTTGATTACCTGTGCTATCGCTTTATCAGTCACTTAATTCCGTTATGTTTTTCTAAGCAAATTGATAGACATCTTAAATGCATGACATTTGATCTATTTGGAGAAAGAGCTGAGTAGATACCTCATGAAGGATCGTATGAGTGAGGTATTTCATTGCGAGACGTATTCTAAGCCCAAAATTATTTCGAGGTGGAATCCGAAGCAGTATGAAGGCCTCTTGACTTCACCTGCATTGCATACAACATTGATCAGAGAAATTAATTTTAAATTGAAGCAGGATTTGAGGCAGGCGACGGTATTTTCATACGTGTGAATATTTGAGAGATTTGTCTGCTGTAAAAAAATGTGACGAGCAGGCATGAACTTGAGTAGAAGCGTTTTAATATGCAAATGAGGAACATAAGGAGGTAAACGTGAAACGTTAAAGACTCGTGAACATTGTACTTATAGTGTCATAGTGACCTGGATCACTGGCGAGCAATTATTGCGAAACACTGAGCGATGAAGGCTGAAAGCGAAAGTCTGGCAGTTGCATGTCAGCTGTAAGCCTTGAAACTGTTCAAAAATCTCAGAGGTGGTAGGTTGCTGCTGGCCTAAAGCGAGAGCGAAGCACAAATGGTTTAGTCACCTCTATTCTTGGTCAATTCATTCTTCAGTAAATAAAACCTGCTTCTCTAAGGCAGATCTTTCCATTCGTACGGGGACAACGGGCGATTAGGGGCGAACGGGCGGCATGCTCGTGGGCGACAAAGTCTTCAGGCAAAATATAGGTCCAAAGGCCGGCCGGAGTCAAATCGTGGAAACGACCTGATCAGCAATTTCGTTCACAAAGTCTAACGTGGAAGTCACCAGGCCCATAATATAAGTGCTTCTCCGACGGTCTCGCTCGGACAGGTTTGGGGGCGGATTTTCGTCTTGAATATCTGAACTCTGGCTGTTACTCCGATCTGTCCTGCATATCGCTTCGTTGGACATCACCTGTGAAAAGAACGCCACCGATGGTCAGCAAGAACGACTCGGCGAAAACTGGTTCACTTACCTTCATGTTCTTGATCCACTTATCCCGGAGGTAGCGTTTGGCCTTTGCCATCGAACACCGTTCCTTGGCCTTTGGGTGCAAAGTCCGCTTGAACATTTTCAAGGCTTTGTCGGTGAATTTTGTCCACTTCACTGGCAGGATGGTCTTTTTCTTTATCCACTGTTCCCATTCCCAGTAATTTCGTGACGTGATCGATGCTTTCATCCACGGATATTTGCGGTTTAACACGTAATATGAGATGATACCGAATGCCCAGACGTCCAGCGCGGATTCAACGGTGTACCGTTCCTTTTCCAGCAGCTCGCACATCTCCGGCGCTTCCCAGGGCGTGGTGACCACCGCGCAATTCCTGACGACGGTGCCCACCAGCCGAGTATTGGAAAAGTCTGATATTTTCACCTTACTGAAGCTCTTGTCGTACACCAAGATATTGGCCGGGCTCAGAGACGTGTGCACGAAATGTCGGTCATGCAGGAACTCCAACGCATCAGCTACCTGCTGAAGCACCTGCGTGGCGTCCGCCTCATTTAGGCCGGACTTGGTTGACTCGACCACCGTCCTCAATGTCGTGCCGTACACCTCTTGGACAAAAAAGTACGAGTCTGTCGTACAGTATATCCCCGGATAGGTGTCGAGTACGTTCGGGTGGGGCGACAGGAAGTAGCTGATTTGGTACTCGCGATTGAAGTCGGCGATTTTCACTTCGCTCTTGGTGAACACCTTCAAGCAGATCTTGGCTTTGGCCCACTTGTCCTCCACCAGACACACGGTACCAAATTTAGACGAGGATAATTCGCGAAGAAAATTGTACCTCTGAGACATGTCGACCGTCTCCATGTTGGACGCCACCTTTGGTTCCGATTTGGACCGTGGAACATGTTTTTGCGTCCCCTGATCGAGGGTCATCGCGCGGCGAGCGGGCTTTCGTTTCACAGGTGCGACTCCAAACAAAAACGACGCAAAGCAACGCTTTTAAAGTCAATTAATTCTTACCGACCGAAGCGATCGTTTGCACGCGTTTTCAGCTGCACTGAGGAAACTTTCTTCGCTTCGCCTCAAACACAAGAACCGAATCGATGCTCATGACGTCAATGGAAGCAAAATCGAATTTTCACGTCATTTGTAACAAAAGCCAGTGGACATATTCCGTGATGCATGACATGGCGCTTTTACTTCCCAGAAGCAGCTTTTGTTTGACAGAAAATCAGACTCTCCCCATCTCCCCCTCAATCGCACTCTCCGATGTCCTACTGTGAGGATAGGATGTTCCGGAGTAGCAGTTTTACAATCTGATCTATGATTAAGACGCCGCTACAATAAACTTTCATGGTTTCTTGCAAACTGCTGACAATTCTTCAGCTTTACTGGAGACGTCGCAGTACAAACGCAGAGCAAGAGCTGTCGCTGTGATCTAAATAATGAGTTCAGTAAAGAAAACTGTTAGTACGACGACCCGCAGAACCTCGCAGAAATGTTAATAAGTATAGGAACATTACGGTAATATCGGTTCTTCAAATATTTATTACTTTTCCAGCCTTCGCCGCCTTTATCCACACAGAAAATGAGTTGCAAACAGGTAAGAACTTGTCGAAAAAAACATCCGTGTTCTTCTCTGAATCTGTTTCTCCAAATAAAAGGTGCGCTACTGGCCAAGACGTCATTCCCAACGCGACGTTGACAACTTTTCGACACCTGACGCTAGAACTTCATTGTGCTGTGATCGGTTGGCTTGCGTGAGAAAATGCTCCCATTGGTACATTTGTCCTAATACAACCAAGAACATGCCTAGACGTCATTCGCATCTGACCCGAAAGAGAATGACGTCAGTGAATCTCTAAAGAAAGCCATGTTTACTTTCCGCAGCATTTGCTTCCCTAACTTCTAAGATGCCCTATTTTCTTGGAATATGTAATCACGAGGACATCTGCTTCTCTAAGCTTGTCGCGAACGAACACTGGAGTCAGTGGCCTCGATCCGAAACTTTCGCTGAAACCGTCGTTGACTCATAACGCGTCTGCGCCTTGCTTGCCTATGGGCTGAACAAAGAAATGTTTTGACCGTGTTTCAACGTCGCTTGTATCTGTTAGCATACCGAATTGAGCTATGCGAATCAGGGAGTATTTGTGTATCACGTTCGCGAACGAGAAGCAAAGAGGTAATTTCATCAGCCCTGCTATGAACGGGCAGTGTTTCGTCAGAAGACCGAAGGGTTTCGATGATCGTA